GAAAGTTGGCCATGAGCAGACTACATATTTGTGGTACTGACAGTTTTGTTTTTGGACATTGTACATCTATAAATGGGAAATCCATGATGTTAGGTTGAAAATCACTTTAAGTATGCAAAACAAAATGAGAGAGGGACATGATATAAGGTCTCTTGTCTACAACAGGGTCAGGGTTTGAAGGCCTCCGACGAACACCTCAGTACCTAACTTCCCTTGTGATGTTCTCGTTCACGCACCCAACCACCTCTTTAGCTATTTTAGAGACCGATATCGAAATAACTCCTGAACACTGTCGGCCACACACATACACACACAGCAACAATGAAACAACGATCTATGTTTCTCTTCGATTTCAGTAAAAAGACAATTCATTTCTGCAGGCGATTAAGTATTCACTAGGCGAGGGAGTCAAAGAAGCGGTTTGCTCGAGGATAAACTAAGTGAACTTATGATATTTGGTCAGAAATTTTTCCCAAAATAATCGCAGAGAAAAGACTGTGCCTCGTCCGTTTCAAGAAAGTTTTCGGATTACGGAACACTGTGACTATAATTCAGCTGGCTTAGGATTCACAATAAAACAGACTGTAAACAACCCGGTTCCACAAGACTAAACAAACCTCCAAAAGATTATCCTAGTGATGTTACAGTGTAATATATAGTCGAATTTTCCATGCAAATAAATTGGCATAATACCTTTCAAAGATCCCGATCGGCCAGAAATCCATCGCTGCGGGAAACAGAAAAAAAATTATAGCTTGTAGTTGTGCCACCAGAGTGCTGGCTAAAAAAAGCTTCAGTTTCCACGTGTCAATGATCATCATGAACTTGACCCCAGACCGCTAAGTACACGAGCGCGCGTGAAAATCGCCACCCACACGCGAGTTTTTTCTCTTCCGTCCGCGTGTTTGCCTAAGCAAAGCAGTACTTGTATTTTTCGTAGTTTTTTTTTTTGAATACAAAATGCAGAAATGATGTTTGCATGTTTTCCCCTCAAATTTAAGTAACTATGCAACATACGCTTAATTACTAAAAACAAATAAATGACATCAAACACCTGTAGTCAAGCAACAAATTTATTCCGTTTAGAACCAAAAAGTGCAAAAGCGGAGTCAGCTTTTTTTTCCTTTTTACTAATTGTTCTTTTTTTTTTTAATAAACCTTTAAGAAACTAAACATCTAATGTTATTGAAATGAGAAAAATTGTGTCTACGGAAAAACGAATCATACCTCACATTGTTATGTAACGCCAGCGTTAAAGGTGGCCCCCAGTAAAAACAATTTTAAAAGTGTATGACGATGACCCCAGACCATTTAGGTAATAAATTAAATTTTAGAGGTAACATAAGTGGGAGAGCAACAAGAAGCTCGCAGCAATTGAATATTCCATTATTTAAAACTAAAACAGGGCAAAAATCCTTTTCTTATAGAATTGTTAATATGGAATAATTTACCATTTGAAATTAAGCTTAGCCAATGTTTACATAATTTTACGTGCAATTTAAGAAAGTATCTTTTAAAAGACTTTTAACGATGAGCTACCCTATCACCAGTAGCTACAGTCTCAGTCAAAATTGCTGGGACACTTTTGTGTCTCCCTGTCCCCTCAATGTTAGTGCACAAGATTTGGTGACTGTTATGTCACAGACCTAAAAGTTCCTCTATTTTGTATTATAAAGCTGCATACTCAAGTGGTCTCGGACTATTGCTGTGCTAAATATGAAGTTTTATTTTTATTTTTATTTTTATTTTATTTGCCACACTAATTACAAAAAATATAGGAAAAGAAGAAGAAGAAAAAAAAAAAAGAAGTGGCGAGGAGACCTAACAGAAACTATAGTAGCTTATGAGAGGTTAGGCCTCCTCGAACTATGAGCTAGAGCTGTTTCACATCAATTGAAGAGAAGAAGGCGAAAAGTCGAAGATGGAAAGATTTATAAACTGTTTTCATACTTACTCAATAATTTAATCTTCAGTTTTTTTGTTAAAAGAGGAGAGGGATTGAGAGTTGATGATCTTGTTGTCAAGTGAATTAAAAAACTTAGGCCCTTGAAAAAAGGGCGAGTACTTCTTCGTGTTTGTACGACAATACGGTAGACGGTAGGCCTGGGAATTTCTTGTATTGTAAGAGTGGAATTGATTGCTTTGAGAGAAATTGTTATTAAACTTTGGAGGTAAGAATGAATTTTTGCAAGAATACATAAATTGGCCCAGTTGAAGCAAATGGATATCATTAAATTTTAGTATACCGAGGTCCTTAAAGATGGGGTCAGTATGAGCATTAAAATGTGATTTATTAATAATTCTAATAATGCGCTTTTGCAGGATAACAAGGCGGCGGAGATTAGTTTTATAGGTCGAAGCCCAAACGATATTGCAGTAGTAAAAATAAGGATAAATTAAGGAATAGTAGAGCATACGTAAAGACGATTTAGGAAGAAAGAAGCTGCATCTAGATATTATACCGATTGACTTCGCAACTTTACTTGCAACGTGAGATATTTCCGACTTCCAATTTAGGTTTTCATCCAAAATTACGCCTAGAAAATTTGTCTCCTTTACTTTAACAATATTTTGATTATCTATACTTATTTGAATATTACAAATTGAACGCTTTTGTCTTGGCTTGAAGACCATAAATTTAGTCTATTTAAGATTTAGAGAAAGCTTGTTTGTTTTAAACCAGATTGACAGTTTGTCCATCTCCAAGTTTAACATATCTGAGAGATAGTTCAGATCTTTATGTGACATGAATACATTGGTATCGTCAGCGAACAATATCAGATTTAATAGATTAGAAGCATTGTTGATGTCGTTAATGTACAGTAAGAAAAATAGAGGTCCGAGGATAGAACCCTGAGGGACCCCACAAGAGATTTCATTTCTTAACGAACGGTGGCCATTATATTCAACATATTGCTTTCTGTTTGAAAAGTAACTTCTTATCCAGTCCAGCGCTAAGCCACGAATACCGTAATGTTCGAGTTTATCAAAAAGGATGACATGATTTACAGTGTCAAAGGCTTTTGAGAGGTCAAGAAAAATACCTACGGAAAATTCACCTCGGTCAAAGGCAGTAGAGATCTTATCATGCAAGTCGATTAGCGCGAGTGCAGTGGAATGATTTTTCCTGAATCCGTATTGGTTACTACAGAGGATGTTGAAGTTCATCAGATATTGCATTAAACGATTGTAGATAACTCTTTCAAAGAATTTTGAAAACTGGGAAGCACCGAGATAGGTCGGTAGTTGGTGAAAAGCGACTGATCATCAGATTTAAAAATAGGTATCACGCGAGCGATTTTCATTTCATCGGGAACAATACCATGCTGGATTGACAAGTTTATGATATGGGTGAGTGGTTCAGAAACAAGTAGAATGGACTCCTTAATGACTGTCATTGGAATCTGGTCGTAGCCAGCTGCTTTGCCTGGAAGAAAAGTTTTCGCAATCTCAGTGATCTCATCTTGAGTTGTAGGGTTGAAGAATATTGACTGTGTAAAGGAACCATTAAGAAAACAACGGTGTGAAGCTGACGACTGTATACCCCTTGCTAAATTAGGACCGATGCTTGAAAAATAACTACAAAACTTGTTGGCAATTTCGACAGGATCAGTAACTTCACGATCATCAGCTTTTAAATGTTGAGCATCTATTGGAATTTCTTTTTGCTTCTGTTTAGAATTTCATTTAAAACTTTCCAAGTAGCACGAGTATTAGATTGAACGTTATTCAATTTCTTCTCATAGTATAGACGTTTTGCTGTCCGCAGAGAATGATTTAATTTGTTTTTATAACTTTTGTAAACTGATTGACGATCCATTGTTGGATTTCGCAGATATTTTTTATAAAGCCTATTTTTCTTCCTAATACACTTAATAAGCGCATTGGATAGCCACGGTTTATTTAAACGGGACTGTTTTCTAGTTAATTTTTTTACAGGGAAGCACACATTATAACTTTCAGAAATTCTTTATAAAGCTATTATACGCGTTTTTGGGGTCATGATAACCATCAAGGGAGGACCAGGTAATTTGTTTTAGCGTTTCGAGAAAACTCGCTAAGTTTTCTTTATTATTGTCTCGAATGACCACTGGGTCATGAGCGTGGCTGTTGGAAGAGTCATTATTTGAATGAATCGAAAAAACAGGTAAGTGATCAGAGATATCAGTAATCAATAAACCACTTCTCGAGTGATCAAAAAATGTGTTTGCGAAAATGTTATCTAGCAATGTTGCGGTGTGAGAAGTTATTCGGGTGGGACGTGTTATCATGGGAAAAAACATATACGAGTGCAATGCATCAAGGAATTCGCCAGTGTTTAGGTGATGTTGAAAGTTAATTAAATTCAAATTGAAATCACCCATAATAAAACATATTTTGTTCTCTCTAGAGATTTTCGCTAACAGATCATTGTGTTTTGACACAAAATCACCAACTCTCTGATTAGGTGGCCTGTAAATAACACCACCGATAATATTTTTCCCATGGGGTCTTGATATTTCAATAAACAAAGATTCTGCAACATCAATATCGTCAAAACTCAAGTCAGCGCGAATTTTAAAATCGAGATTGTCAGAAATATATAAGCCAACACCACCACCAGTTCTATTTGGGCGATGTTTGTGAATAAAATTGAAACCATCTATGTCTACTGAATGGGAATAATCATTTAGCCAAGTCTCAGAAACGCCAATTAAAGAGAACTTAATATTCAAGCATGTCAAAAGAATAGAAAGGCTGTTTAGATTACGTTGAAGACTACGAATATTTAGGTGTAGGAGTGAAAAATCTTCATCACATAAATTATCATTTCTCAACATTTCGTTAAATTTGTCTTCAATGTAGTAATCACAGTGGACGTCGTCTGTGCAGAAATTAACATCAGGATCTATATCGTCAGAACGAGTTAGGGAAAGATTGTGACTTGAAAATAAAGGATCGTAATTTAGGCTGGAAAGTTGTTTCTAGAGTCTTAGCAGCTGCACGTTCTAGGTAGAAGTTCAAGCGTACCACGCATAGACGTCAACGCATATCTCACCACTGTTATCTTGGGCACAACCATTCGGCAGCAAGGCTTCATTATACCAAATTTTGAATACCTGTCCATTAGATACGGATATTGGAGACGGAAGATGCTTAAACAGGAGTTCCGTCGAGTTAACATCTATACCCTTGATCGTATACGAGTATTTTGTACAGACGCCATCTCTGTATTTTGCTAACGGGAGAACACTTTTGTTCTCGTATGTTATTACAGTAGACAGTGTTTGATCACCATAAGTGCGGTGTGGGCAGCCCCAAAAGGTTGCTGGTATGTCTTCTGCACACTTTAATGATCCTCTTCGGTGAACAAGTTTAAACGCGTGGATGAGTCCCTGTTTGGTGATGCGAAAACTTCCATGCGAGTCTTTAGCTTTGTAGCAGACTGATTCATTGTTAATCTTTTTCCAGTCTGAAAGGAAATGTAAAAAAAAAAAAAAAAAAATTGAAAAAGGTACAATTTTATAGCATGAATTTATTGTCTTCTTTTTAATAAATTGCATGGTAAATCAGTCATGTTGTCGACAAGGTGCGATTCATACATTTCATATACAGCTATTTCGAGAAAGGTTGTCGCAAAAACTGTGCACGCGACAATCCTGAAAGGTAATATGGGATATGATCAATGAGTTGTTCCTGACACTGTAGTTGTCGAACCTACTTTTGTTACTTTCCTTTAGCACTTGCAAACACACGTCCATGGCCTCTCGTGCCATTCTTTGAAATTTCTTTTCAAATTAAACAGTGAACTAAAAAACACCCACAATACCTTTCGGGATTGTCGCGTGCACTTTTTCCGACAACCTTTCTCGAAACAGCTGTACACATATCTTGCCCGGTAAAATCTTCAGTATTAAATTATAATTAAGAACTCTAAAATTTAAAATAATAACAATAACGATGAAGTGTAAGACTTTACGTATACCAATGGCGGAAGGAGTCAAAAGGTTAGCAGTGCGCACGCTTGAATACCGGTATCATCTTGACGAGAAAAAGGCCGTCATCATTCTACTACGAGTCAGTTTTAACGAGAATGTCAGTGACGGAAATAAATTAACAACGGTTAGGAGTTCTGACGTGATACAACTCGCTTTGACTCTGAAGGTGATTACCGCACAGGTTGTCGAAACGTCAGTCACTGTCAACAACAGTCCTAAAAAGAAATGAACTGGGCCGTTGCTTTCAGACTTGAAAACATGTACCCTCTAAATTACCTTTGCATCCATAAAGCTCTACTCTCATTGAAATTTTGCCATGCCAAAGAGTTGGTAGAAAACGGATGTAACGCGCCTTGAATGGCGTACTCAAGCTATGAAGAACTACGGTGTCACGATCATCATTCCCTGTAAAGATCTAACCGAAGGAAATAAACAGATTATTAGGAGTACATAATTATTATTCACACTAGGACGCACACTTGTCTTGACCTAACCTTGAGTTGGCAATTCGTGGTGTGTGTGTGTTTGGGGGGAGGTTTCCAATCTAAGACGGACTATACTAGGACGCTTTGCTGGCCGGCTAAAGGTATTTTAAAAGTATAGGGATCTCACGAGTTGAAGGATAGGAAAATGGTAAGAATAATTCCAATGTGGGTATTTTCAAGGGTCTTGCGAAGTATCCTGTGAGACCCTCAACGGATGATGTACTCTTGAATAATTTCAAGAAGTTTCCCAACGAGAAAAGCGAATTAAAGACGCTCGGTAGGTAAAGGGGAGGGTAGGGGAGGATTAGGGTTTTGAGCACATGGTTACCGTATTTATTCGATTAACCGCCCTGGGCGCTTATTAAATTTTTGGACCTTGAGAGTGGGCGCTTATTCAAGGTGGGCACTTATTCGAGGCTGGGCGCTTATGAAATTTTCAACATTTTCAGCAAGAGCAGTATGTTTATTTTGCAACAAAACAATAAATGGCAATAACAAAACGCTCACGTTTAACAAAGCAAGGTTTCTAAAAAATACTTTGAAGAAAACTCCATCTTCTGGGAAGTCTCTTATCAGTACTTATTCAGTTTTGGGCAGGCTGGGGTGGGGGTGGGCGCTTATTTGAGTTTGAGTGGGAGTGGGAGAGAGGTGGGGTGGGGTGGGCGCTTATTAACTTTTTCTGCTTTTAGGATGGGCGCTTATTAAACGTGGGCGCTAATTCAAGGTTGGCCGCTTATTCGAATAAATACGGTAAGTGGCAGAGCATATGATCCTCCGGAGCACTGAGCATCTCCACTCAGGTCTCTTTGTTAGGTTTATATATATATTTATTTATTTATTTATTTTCTCATGCCTTATATGTAGTTTGTCCTGGTTCTCTGTAGTGCGTGAAATTCAAAGTCCAGTTACTGTACTGCAACATGTATTCCGTAACCCATTCATCCTCGTCATGTCTGCCTTGCGTTGCCACTGCTGTTACGGTAGCGTACAGGCCTCCAAGATCAATTTGAAGCCATTGATTTTCATCGTCTTTTTTAGCTGACCAGGCTCCCCCTTTGCCTCCGTTTGCCGTGTAGTGAAGTCTGCCTTGGTTTGCTCTGTGATTACCATTCAGCTCTGAAGAGGCACTGATTTGACCTTTTCTAATACGATTGTTTTCCATTCCCAGATCATCTGCACGTTCGAAATGTATCAATTAAATGCGTGTATAGTAAAGTCTGCCTTGGTTTGCTTTGTGATTGAGACTCAGCTCTGAAGAGGCACTGATTTGATCATCGCTAATACGATTGTTTTCCATTCCCAGATCATCTGCACATTCCAAATGTATCAATTAAATGCGTGTACAGTAAATTTTGGATTGGATTTGGATTTCGGGTGCTGGATTCTGGATTCTTGTCAGAGGAATTCGGATTCGGGATTTCAACCGTTAGTGGGATTCCGGTTTCGTTGAGCCTTAATTCCAAAGCCCAGGATTCCATTAGCAAAACATATACCGGAATCAGTAATCCAGATTTCCTTACATGAGGCATTGAAATACGATTTTACTGGGCGTAAAAATTTGTTGGCTGATGGAGTAGGTTTACTTAAAATTGAGGGCAAGGCTGATCGGACAGCTAAGGGTTGGTAATTTACATTGATTTATTTGCCCAATATTTCGACTAGACAAAACAAGTCTTAATCAGGGGCTAAAAAACCTAAAATAAAACAAGCTAAAATAGTAGCAACGCATTACATTGAAAGCTCTATACTATCTAATCCATTTTGTAGTTGTCATTCCCACCTAAGGATTAAATTATTATTTTCTTTCTTTCTAGGATAGGTGTGTTCCACGAAAGTTACTTATGACCCTAACCCTAACCCTAACCCAACACTCCCCCCTTCCTCAAGCAGCAGTGGGTCAGTGTTTTGATAACCGGAATGAAAATGCAAATTTTACCTTTGCGCCCATAAATCTCCACCCTCATGGATATGTGACCGTGCCAAGTTACTGGTCGAAAACGGATGTAGCGTGCCCTGATGGCATGACTGAGTTTGTGGTAGACCACAGTGTCCTGATCTGTGTTTCCAACAAACTCCTAACAAAATAATAAAAAAAAAAGATGACGAAGTTGCTGAAAAACATCTTTCAATGAATATGATGCTCATTGATAAAAATTAATACAAAAAGAGCGTGGAGACGTGGTGCTGGACGATTAAGAATTCCAGCCAGGGGGGAGGGCTACTCAACAAAGTTTTATACGGTGAGGCTAATACCTTTACCCTTTAACATACCATTTTTGACAGAAATGGTTCCTCTTGCGAATACCTTTTATTGACAAATGGTACCCCTTTCACATACCTAATTTAGAGCTTTGCATCAATGGCTGTAAAATACGAATATATCACAAAACCAGAAAGTTTCCTCGGCATTTTCAAAGCCATAAATGCATCTGTTTGCCCTTCTGGGCCTTTTCACAGGCCTAAATGACAGATTTCCCTACCCTTTTATATACGGTACTTCAACTAGTGAAATCCCTACCCTTTCATCAGGGGCACCCAACGAGAATATAGTTCAAAACCACTTAAACATAGCATTGTTGAACGTATTTTAGTATTTAGACGGTAGATATAGGTATATTTTTATCCCTACAAATTTTTCATCTGTTCGGATTTCCTAGCTGAAAGTCTAGTGATCCGAAAATTATAGGGATAAAAACTTACCTTTTAGAAAATTTAAGCCAGAAAAAAGGCTCCCGAAAATTCTAGGTGACCTTTTTGGGGTAAAAATCTGTTAAAAATGGGCAATTATACAATTTTGGGGAGGTTCGAAAATCCTAGGAGACGCAAGCAAGCAAGAAATTTAACAACAAATCTTAGATCTCAAATCGCCTCCCGAACAGATATTTTCCAAAAATTGTCGCTGGGTGTCCCTGTTTCATATACCTGAAGCCTGAAAAAGATACCTCTTTCGGGCAGAGCCTCCCTGTATGGGCCATTATAGGAAGTACCTATACCCTCGGGAATTCAAGCCTTGTCTTTGCATCGTTTTCTTAGACAAGATACTTTGCTCCACCTTGTCTATCTCAGTTGTCTCTCCACTCAGGCCCTAGCCGTTCAAAAGGTAAATAACACTATCCACTGGGAAAATCTGCAATTAGGGTTAGCCCAATTGGTTTTCCTAATACTTGTCTGCTGGATCAAGAGCTCACTCCGCAGCAAAACTACAGGCCACTTCGGAGTTCCAAATACTCTCACTTTCAAAATGAGGCTAAATGTAAAAATGAGTTTTATTTGCATGAGGATAAAAAATCATTTTCATATCAATGGCTTTGGACTTAGCCTCGCTTTGAAACAGAGGCTTGAAAGAACACGAAAATGGCCTGTTGCTATCCTTTTAAAATGACGAAAAGAGTGCGAGGTTTAAAGCTAGGTAGGTAGGTAGGTGGGTAGGTGGGTAGTTGGGTAGGTGGATAGGTAGGTAGGTAGGTAGGCAGGCAGGCACGCAGGCAGGCAGGTAGGCAGGCAGGCAGGTAGGTAGGTAGGCAGGCAGGCAGGCAGGTAGGTAGGGGCAGGCAGGCAGGCAGGCAGGCAGGCAGGCAGGTAGGTAGGTAGGTAGGTAGGCAAGCAGGCAAGCAGGCATATGGGTGGGTGGGCAGGTAACAGGTGGGTGGGAAGCAGGCAGGCAGACAGGCAGGCAGGTGGGTGGATGGGTGGAGGCAGGCAGGGCAGGCAGGCAGGTGGGCAGGCAGGCAGGCAGGCAGGCAGGCAGGCAGTAAGGCAGGCAGGCCAGGCAGGCAGGCAGGCAGGCAGGCAGGCAGGCAGGCAGGCAGGCAGGCAGGCAGGCAGGCAGACAGGCAGGCAGGCAGGCAGGCAGGCAGGCAGGCAGGCAGGCAGGCAGGCAGGCAGGCAGGCAGGCAGGCAGGCAGGCAGGCAGGCAGGCAGGCAGGCAGGCAGGCAGGCAGGCAGGCAGGCAGGCAGGCAGGCAGGCAGGCAGGCAGGCAGGCAGGCAGGCAGGTAGGCAGGCAGGCAGGCAGGCAGGCAGGCAGGCAGGTGGGTGGGTAGACAGGCATATTGAAAACTGACGCTATCTCCGCTATACTGCACTTTGTATTTCGTTACCCACTGAGGGTAGTCATTTCTGCCTTGTGTTGCTAGGGCCGTGACCTTAGTGTGCGGATTACCCAAATCGACTTGAAGCCACTGAGATACATTATATTTTGCTGACCATGATCCGCTTTTGCCTGGAACAGCTTTAAAGTAGAGCCTTCCCTGAGAGGCAGCGTAATTTTCACCCCACTGCGAAGAAGCACTCATTTGCCTATCAGAGATTGCACCGCTTTCTACACCGAGAGCATCATGGCATTCTGGGATATAATTAAACTGATCAACATCAAACAAACAGGGTAAACCATTTTGTCGGGTTCGTAAGACTTCTTTTCTGTGGCAAATTCTTATGAGGTATTAGCTGGTTTAGGTGGCCAGAAGAAGGCTGACACCCCATAATGTTTGTGATCTCCGAACAGAAAACTTATGTAACCGGCGAAGACGACGACGGCAGGGAAAACGTCGCTAAAAAAATCAATTTACGTCCTTTTAAACTCTATCGCGTCTATTTGCACCCGCTTAATTTGTCAAATGCAGGCAATTTGTAGTCTTGCAGTAAACGTCAAAGAAATGTACTAAGAAAGTGTGATGCACGTGCAAAGCTGTTGTTTTGCTCACAAAACAATTGTTTTTTGACGTTGCCTTTTTCGCCTTCGTCGCTACTTAAGCTCCCTTAGCCTGCGTAGCATGGCGGCTTCGGGAGCACGACTGAGCAGCCAAGCCGCCAGAAAAATAATCAAGTTGCTTCCGCCTCAATCTCCTTGCAGTTTCTCTGCCCTCGCTCGCCTTTATTATTTAGCGCGCCCAACCAAAGCCGCCATGCTACGCAGGCTAAAGCTCCCTAATAACGCACAGTAAACAGAACGATGCATGTTACACAAAGCCTTGTTACAAGTAATCTGGTTAGCGACCTCCAGTAATATTCACTGACCTTTACACGGTCCAATATCAATGCACTCACAACGGAATGAACCATGTTCATTCACACATTTCTCGTTAGGTGAACAGTTATTCAAGCTGGAGGACTCACATTCGTCAACATCTAAAAAACACGCAAAAACATGTTAATGGTAACGCTCTGAGAGGGTAACTTTTAAAAGAAAACATTCATTCGTTCTCTACACTGCGTAGGAACTAAAAGTGATTCCAAAAATCTATACTCAAAAGTAATAACGTTGTGAGTCTGGGAGTAGTTATAACGAATAATAAAAAGGTTATTGAATCATTCAACATGGTATGTTTAATGCACCTTTCCATTGTTTTGAAAAGGTTTTTATTTTCAACAAAATGGATCGAAGGACCTGGTCACGGAAGACAGGTGGAACAATTAGGAATAATAACCCACTCTTCCATTTCAGAGGCCATAGTAATGACTTGCTGGTTCTAAAACAATAGAAAGGTCCACTAAACCGGATAATGCCCTTCTCAAAAAAATCAATAATAACCTCGCCCTACGCGCTCGGTCATTATTTTTAAGAAGGCATCGGAGCTGTTAGAATATTCCCCTTAAAAATACTAACCTTTACAGATGGTACCTTCTTTAACAAAACCAGGGAGACATTCACAACGAAAGGAACCAGGCTCATTTATGCATTTCATGCCCCCCGGCATACCTAGCTTGCAGGTGTGCAAATCCTTAGCGCATTCATCAATATCTGTCAACATTGAATAAGAATGGCGATTTTAAAAATGAAGTAGAAAAACTATTTTTAGATCTACAGAAAATAAGAGTCAATCCATCGTAATTTGTATCAGTGGCTATTGTGAGTTTGCCAAAGAGTCTGTTTCGATGTTGTGTTTAACTGCATTGTGGGACACTATCGCTTCTTTAATAGTTATTTAGCGATACTCACGCTGACGTCACCTATTGATATGTTAAATATGCATTAGTTCTTGTAACAAAAGTGGAAAGTTCTTTTGTTTCACTCAGTGCCTGTAAACAGTGACGTTTCCTCTTGACTTTTGCAAGCTCGCACAGGAGTGTGAGTAAAAATTCGTTCGCAAGACGTTCCCACAATGCAGTTCAAAAAACCCCGACCCAATTTCTCGTGAAATCAGTCTCAAAATGGCCAATCTCTGAGCCTGATTAACAGACTCAGATTCAAGGTAATATCTCAAAGGCACAAAATAAACGTGACAACCAGACCAGAGACCCATTTCGCGCGCAGGCTACAGTAGAAAAGGGTAACCTCCCCTTATGAAAGGAACTTAATCCCTGCACCTTACTTCCCTTAGGTAGCTTAAGCAAGCAAAGACGTTTTTAATTGAACCATGTCAACCGAAAGTGTAGCCTACCAAATTTGTATCGCCAAGTGTGTTTACTCTTAAAGACACGATTTTGTCTAAACATTTGGACAGAACAAACGCCTAGGAATACGAAACGCCACTTCCTCTTGCCGTCCGTAGCTTAAAAACGACCTTTTTAAAGCTCCCTCTTATAAACTCGTCGGCGCCATTTACTTACGGGTGTAGAAAGAGGATGAAAAGCAAGGTAACAGCTTTCTTCCCATTGAAGGTTTTCATGCACGTGGCCAGCATTTAGGCAAATTTAAGCGAGCAAAAGGAAGTGTTCAAACAAGAAAAGAATTCAACTTCCAGAAGAATTGTTCGGAATACCAACATGGCCGCCGTTTATATTGTTTTTGAACATCAATATCGCCGCCGTGACGTCATGTGAAATTACTCTATATTTGCAAGGGTGTAATGAACTACAAACTTAGCTCTCGAGCCTTCGAAGAATATAAGTTGAATTGTGTAATGCATCTAACTTCTGCATATTACCTGTACAGTTGTCGTTTACAAACTTGAACCCATCGCGACAGACACATCTGTAGCGTTTTTCTGTGAACCCAGCTTCACATAATTCGTTTTCTCCTGGGCAGGGATCATCGTTAATTCGGCAAAAGTTCTGAGTTAAAAAGATACCATATTAGATGTTTTGTTAATTTGCAGCCTTAAATCTGATACTACATCTCAAAAGTTAATCCGCAATGTGGGTTCCACAGTCTATATCCTACAGCACCTTTATCACAATCTCCATTACCATCGTTATCAGCACATCTCATTTATATCGCTTCTTGGAATCGCTATTTTCAACATCACATCGTCAACATCATCATCAAAATCATAACTATCGTCATCATCATTAATAACAATATCAAGAACAGAATTATGATACATCTGTTATCATCAACATTGTCACCATCATTATCATCACCATTATCATCCATAACAACAACAGTGCCAAAATCAACATCATAATCATCATCATCATCATCAGCAACAACAACAAAAATCATCATCATCCAAACCATAATCATCATCTTCATCGCCTCCATCACCATCATTGTCATCAATATTGTCACCATCATTCATCATTATCTGCAGCAGCATTAGTAATATGGTCATCATCATTATCATCATCAACATCACCATAATCATCAGCATCGTCATCATCATCATATGCAACGAAAATGTCATGATCATCATCGTTATTAGATGTATGTCCTGAATCGTTATCGTCATCATTCAGTACGTACGAGCCAAAAGCCAGTTTTAACATACCTCAATAGCAAAGTGAATGTAATGTTCCATCTTTTTCAGAGAGGACAGTGAAGGGCTCTCGTCAGTGGCATTGTTAAGTTCGCATGTTCTTGTATGAGCACCTGCAGGACCCACGTTAATAGACACGCATTTTGGTTCCAAAAAACACTTCACCCTGCAGCCCCCTTCATTGAGAACCTCTTCAGTTCTAATCACGTGATCTGGAAGAACTCTGTCTGGTATGGGTTCCTTGAATATTATGATACGGTTGTATTCTATCGACAAAACTGACATAAAAAGTAAAACATAGACCATGAGCCCATCGCGACAAATTCGCTCTAGAAAATTGCCAGATTATATTACAACGAATTTTACACCTCAGCCATCCAAATGCTGTATCACCATATATTTCTGCAGCTGTATTTTGTAAATTTATGTAGTTATTTTGTGTTCAATAAAACATAATAGCTCTGCAGTTTTTTTCTCTAAAGAATGAAGATTTTTAAAGGCCTCTATCAGTCAGTTTTCTTCTCATTTGAAAGAACTTAAACATATATAGATAGAATCTTAACTTCTTTTTTGGAAATTGCTTTCAGTGGTGATACTATATTATAATGAGTAAATTTGAGTGAATGAAAAACTGTCTTCCTGTTTGCAACAACTAGTACTTATTTTCTGCGAGGAAAAGCCTGAACATTTTACACTGAAAAACGCACCCATTTAACTAAAGGGAAATTTACAATTATTGTATATTTTATGGTTTACAGGCTATTATTTAGATTAAGAGTTTTGTACGTGATACAAGTTCGTCGGATTATTGAAATACGAAAAAACAATAAAAGCTCAAAAATATTGCCTGCAGATGAGAACAAAACTTACCACTACATAAAGAAGTGCAAAAAATAAGCCAAGTAATCCATGCCAGTAAAAGAAACGAATTTATAGACGCCATGAAAGTTCACCTAACTAGTTACCGTGGAACTGGTGTTGGGCTCAATATCTCCTTTTTTAATATTACCTGTTTTGTGCTGTTCAGTATTCATTAATAAAACATTTCGAAAACAGACGCGCCCTTGTTTAAGCCTACGTCTTGATAAAAATGGAATTTTTTTAAGTAAGTAAGGTAGGATTTTTGCAAACTGTGGATAAACTAATTGAAATTTTATTCGACTAACAGAGAGCTCAGTGTCGATAAGAGTCAGTTACTGATCGTCAAATTACCCGTCCTCTTTCGTGTCTCTAGTTTTCATTAGTCAAAAACAAAGTAAGGAAGAAGGAAGAATTACCATAGATGACTATGACAACTTCCTTAAGAAAGATTATGATAAATATTTATTGTTAGGGCTTTGGCAGGTGATGTCGTTTTCTTTTGTTTTTTTATTTTTTATTTTTCATAATATAGCCACCGGAATGATGCGGTGAAAGGCAAATATCTATACCACTCAGTGCTTTTAAGTTTTCATGCGTGACCCATTTACGTGTATATTAAGTATTTATCAGATACTTACACATAGGGCATTGTAGCCGTGTTTTTCAACAATTTCAAGTCAATGCAAATCACCGTGGAAACCAACGTACCCTTTAAATATTAAACAAATACTTAAACTAGGAGGCACGATTTGTACACCATTCCTTCCTTAAAAAATACTTCCATGGACAATCAAACTACACGCAAGGTTGCAGTAATTCCATCAAAAGACATTAAGTCGAGTCTCGTATATCTTGGAAGTTGCAACAACAATCATTGTCAAAACTACATATACGAAATTAGTTTTAAAGGTGGCACAATATCATTAAGTATTATGCGTATTAGGAACGTTCAGTTTTAAGAGAGTGTCTCTGTAAGAGCGGTCCGGTCGATTTTCCTTGAGACACAGATTTAGCTCATTTCTTGTGTGTTGTAAGACATTCATCTACCTATACTAAAACCACAATCCGTTTGATCGGATCTCTTTATTTTTCAGAGTTTTACGGAAATTAAATTTCACTCGAGCGAAGGCCTGTCGTGACACTTTTCAAGACGTTAATTTGAGGCAACTTTGCCGGACAATTTACAACAAACTACGGGACTCAGCAAAAAACAAATACCACAGCCATGTATACTAACTCTATCTTATCCATCGAGGCGACTTTCGTGAACATCACGTTTCAATCAAGCAAACAGGAAGACTTGAACGACACCTTATCGGTTCGCTTAAGTCACACACGCGAAAACCGATCAAATTCAAGGTACCTTTTTGAAAAAAGTGAGGCGTTCTTAACTGATCCAACTAATATAGCTAGGAAGTAGGTGCCATAGAAAAGGTAACTACAGAAAAAAAAAAATTTGCGGCCCGACCTTTACTAAAACTTTATAACTCCGTGAACTTACCTAATTTTTCGGCAATCTCCAAGTTTTGCCGCCATTTTGAGGGACTTGTCAACATGAAGCGTAGCAGATATAAATCGAGCAGGTAGATCTAAAACAGTCAGAAATACATACGAAAGCATTCAAATGAACTTCACTTTCAATTCAAGGGGCAAAATTTGAAACTGTTCGTTAAACCTACCATTCCTACATCCCCATGCGACCATTTCTTCCAACAATTCAAACACTACAACTAGTGACCACTAGTGTTCGAGTTTCCCTTGTCGATTCCACCGTAACAAATAACCTGTGCCACCCAAGCTTCGAATCGAATGTGAAATACGAATCGAACAACATAACTGCGTCATCTTCGAGGCCATATCACGCTGGTATTTTGATTTTCTGATCGACAAGAACAAGAACGATGATCAGGAGCTGATCGCCATGTTTACCTCATAAAGGTGACCGCTGACCAGCCGCTGAATGTATACAGTACGGCGCATAGTGGTGTGGGTGGCGGACTTATCGTCATAAGATATTCGAATACATGCTAAAAAGCTTTTAGGACTCTCAGTCTAAACAGTGAAGGCATGCTTCATGGTACAGACAACTTTTTATTTTATTCTCATAACTTTTTCCTTTAAATTAGAACTGGTATTAATTAATAGAGTTATTTAAATATTTTTTAACTGAGGTACCCATATGACCTTTTTGCTTGTCCTCAGTGGTATAAAATAAGGTGTCTTTTCTTCCAGAACCTTTTATTTATACGTTATTGCACCGAATGAACACTATACTTAGAAGGTTTGTTCTAAGTCATTTTTGCTGTTCCCAAGAATGTATGCAAAATCATAGCTTTATACAAAGCTGACTCTAAAATATGATTTTCCGTAACAGTAACTAATGTCATTTAGGTAAGGTGTTAATAAAACTAGCAATGTACAATTTTTAGCGTTTTCCACTTATAAGCCTGACATACAATTGTCAAGTGAACTATGTTAGTTTCAACTCATTCCTTGATTCGATGTGACCCTTTATCGCTAAACCCCATTCTTTTCATTTGCAATTTTCCTGTACTTTTTTTCATAGTACATCGACAAAGAGTTTTATAAGTAAACCGATTTTTTGGTGTACCACGCTAATTACATTGTACATTCCAATACATGCAAAAGGCCGGCTAAAGAAGCTCCTCCCCTGCTCCTAATTTTGGGGCTGCCTTCGCCCCATGCCTCTGCCTCAACTCCCTGTCGGCTAAAAAGGAAATTTGAAAAGACTGCTATGCAGGACACATTTTCTTTTTTCTTCATTTTCAATTACCCTCTACAATTTTTATAAGTATGTTAAGATATAAAAAACAAAGGTTTTTTACAAGTAAACTGTTTTTTTTTTTTGTACCACTCTTAATATATATATATATATATATATATATTAAGAGCATATATATATAAATTGTC